TCGAGACATTGCGACTGACCAATGGATTGCTGGGCGAACTGTATTCTGAGACTTTTCAGCCCCTGCGCAAGCTGAAAACTCTCGATCTGCATGGCAATCAGTTGGAGAATCTGAAACGAAATCAGTTTAAGAATCTCAGGGATTTGGAATTTTTGGATATAAGTCACAATGGGATCAAGAAACTGGAGGCGCAACACATTTCCGATCTCACAAAGCTGGGCTGGTGCAATGTCTCACACAACGCCCTCACCGAGCTGAGTCGCGGCACCTTTGCCAGAAACTCTGTGCTGAAGGTGCTCCATCTGTCCCACAATCGCATACAGCGCCTGGATGCGAACAGCTTCCGGGGCATGCGCTTTCTGCGCCGCCTATTTCTCAGCGACAATCTGCTCACGGAGATTGGTCGCGGCACCTTCGGTTCGGTGGCCCGCATTGGAACCATTGACTTGGCCCGCAATCTGCTGACGAAGGTGGAGTACCAAATGTTTACCCAAATGAACTATGTGGAGGTGGGTACAAAAATATCAACCATAGAATGAGTAAACTGCACGAACTTTTTTATTGTCAGCTTCTGGATCTGGCGGAGAACAACATTACGAAGATTGAGAAAAACTCCTTCAAAGACATCTACCAGGCGGTGATAAATATTTCGCATAATTCCCTGGAACTGATTGAAACGGCCGCCTTTGAGAACTGCATAAACATAACCACGTTGGACCTATCCCACAATCGTTTGACCAACTTCTCGCGCCGCAGTTTCGACGAGAACACATTTGCCACGACCTTCCAGCTGAGCTTCAACGGTCTGACCAGTCTGGCACATGTAACAACCCCTCTGAATGGACACAAACTTGGTAACTAATCGATGTTTGCCTTTCAGATACCCATACAGAATATGACGGGGCTGAAAGTTCTGAATGCCTCGCACAACAACATCTCGGACATTCCCAAGAACACTTTTCCCAAGTTGTACGAACTGCACACGATCGATGTGTCGCACAACAACATCTCCATCATCTTCAACGGTGTGTTCCAGAGTCTGTTCTCGCTCCGGACGGTGGATCTCAGCTATAACAGCATGCGTGAAATCAAGTCTTCGACCTTTGGCACCATGCCCACACTCTTGCTATTGGATCTCAGTCACAACAAGCTGGTGTCTGTAGTGCGCGGGTCGATGGCCAAGATGACCAGCATGCGACAGCTCTACTTGAACAACAACAAGCTGGAGAAGCTCTTCGAGCTGCCCATTTCACTGAACGAGCTCTATTTGAGTCATAACAACATTAGTTCGATCCCAGCGAACACGTGGCCGGTCATGAACTCATTGATCTACCTGGATCTGAGCCACAATCAGCTGGGCGACAGCCTGGACTCGCAGAGTTTCACAAGTCTGCTGGTGGTGCAGCGGCTGAAGCTGCAGAGCAACGGCATCAGCAAGCCGCCCTTGGAGGCAGTGGCGGGCATGTCAACGCTGCAGTATCTGTACTTGGAGGTGACTCAATTGCAGGGGTTATTTTTATTTTGTATAGATTATATTTTAATTTCAGAACAACAACATATCCGCGTTGGAGCGTAGCGCCTTTGGCAAGCTGCCGGTTCTCTTTGAACTCAATCTGCACGGCAATCAGGTCACGGACATTAGGTGAGCCACTCATAGAACATTCTCTCCGGCATACGACTGATTCTATCTTTGATTTTTCCTACAGCAAACGCGCCTTTGAGGGCCTGTTGCAATTGCTCAATCTGAATCTGTCGTCGAACGGCATCAAGCACCTGCAGAATGACATTTTCTTTGGGCTGCCTTCGCTGCGCACCTTGGATCTGTCGCATAACTCCTTGGCCAAGCTGGACAATAAGACGAACGGTGTCCTGGATGATCTGCTCAGCCTGGAGACCTTGGACTTAAGCCACAACCGCATCAGCTTCGTCACCAAGAAGACCTTTCCCTCCCACCAGTACATACCGTACAACCTTCAGTACCTCGACCTGAGCTACAACCAGATGCCCGTCCTCACCTACGACATCACTTTCGGCACCAAGAAGCTGCTGCATCTCAATTTGTCCCACAACCAGATCAACGACCTGCGACGCGGCGTCCTTTCCAACTTCACCTCGTTGAATCGCCTCGACCTGTCGCACAACGAGCTCGCGAACCTGCAGTCAGAGGAGCACATATTTGATCTGCCCAAGAACCTGAGTCACCTCGACCTGTCGCACAACCAGATATACCACATGCCGTTTGCCAATCTAGTGAAGGTGCTGTCGCTGGTATACGCCGATCTGTCCAACAACAGCCTTGAGGATGTGCCCTCCTCGTTGGTGGCAAGCATGCGCAATGGCAGTCAGATCCTGGTGGCCGGCAACCCACTGCACTGCGGCTGCAATGCGCGTCCCCTTAAGCACTTCATGTTGCAGCAGACGACGCCAAGCGAGGACCTGCGGGGCATACTCTGCAGCACACCATCGCTGGCCAAGGACAAGTACCTCTTGGAACTGGACGACGAGTTTCTGCAGTGCGCCAACGACGAGAGGGACATGTACACGGGCAGCGACTACGAGCAGCTCACAGATGTCCGGTTCCGTGAAGTTCAGACGTAAGCACAAAACCCACTGTCCGACAACTAGTCAGTCACTGACACTCTTCTGCCACCTGTTTCCTCTTCCCTCATGCAGCAGCAAAGCCGGCAATCTAACGCTCAGCTGGTATGTGTCTGCCACTGCGGATGTGTCTGACTTCAACGTGTACATCCGGACCGGCGGCAATGAGGTGCTCTTCCAGTCGGACTATGCCTACAACCAGCGCACGGCCCAGATACGCATCTCAGACCTACAATCGCACGGCGAGGACAAGCTGCTGGCTGCCGAGATCTGCATCGTGTCCCGCGACAGCGACGGCAACACCCGGAAGTGGTTCGCCGGTCAGTGCCAGCCACTGCCGTCGCTCAAGCTGCGCAAGACCTTCTTCTTCGGAAACTTCCAAGTGCGGGGAGGAGCCGCCGCCGCCGCTATTCACCACACAGGAGAGTGTCACCTCGTGTTCATAGTTATAATGTTGTTTGTTGCCAAGCTGTGGTATTCGTGGTATTAAATGTCCGTCTGCGGCCACTGCTCACTGTAAGGACACGCTCTGCTCTGCTCTGCTCTGACCTTAGGGCCGAACATGTGCGCGCCGCCCCATTATCACAGCCGTGCGCACATGTACGGGTAGTTGTTTACTTGGACGCTGGACTTAGCATGTAGCCTCCCGTGGCAGCGCAATTGAGAAATTGTTACGGCCCCACCCACACCGACATACCACAGCCTCAGGCCGCAAGCCCAGCTGATGGCACGGCCGGACGGACTTTCATTCAGAGCGAAACACAAAGGAAGCTTCGGGTGTTCCTTTCATTCTCTATTTGGGACTCGGCGGTGGCTTCGGGTTAGTTTGCTGCCCAGAGTGAGTGAGAGGAGAGCGAGGCTTGACACACAAATGCGCACTCGCGCTCTCAGCTGAAATGGTATGCGTTACACTGGCGACCATATTTAATGATGATGGAAAGTTTAAATGAGAAAATCATTTGATCTTTGGAAACTATAGATCCTTAGAGCTGTAGAGGATTGTGAGCAATTGATGATTCAATTTAGAACAAAATGTATTTATCATTTACAGTACAGTTGAGTACAGTATCGGGAAAGCTCTCCCAATGTTACATGGCCGGCAGTGTGCTAAGGGCATGTGCACTTTCACTGCCACCCACACACGACACGCTCTCGATTTCACTCTGGCAACCACACACAAGCACACAAGAATGTGCTTTTGTGTTTTGTGTGACTTTGGTTTTGCATTTGGCCCGTCCTTTGCGACTTTGCCTATCCTTATCGATTTTCAGCGAAATTTCACAGGCTCACGGCGCACGTCAGTGCCATGCGAAAGCGAAGTTTCACTTGTCGCGCTGAGTTCGTTCGTGTCGCAGCAGCAGCAGCAGCAGTAGCAGAAGCACTAGCGAGTGCCGTTATACCGTTTACCGTTCGTTCGTTACATAAAGAGAGATTCCAATAGAAAGTTTAAGTGCGCTGCTGTCTGACGGCATAGATCAGTGAAAGTTTCCAGGAATAACCTAATCAGCACATTGTGATAAGCAGTACGAAGCGCGACCCCAACACCCCTACAGAAATCCAATCCAATTTCAATATAATAAGTCGGAAATTGAGTGTATCCTCACACTCTGTCCCTCTCTCTCTCTCTCTCTAGAGAGTGGTGTATCTGGCATCTGGCTGCGAAAACGCAGCACGCTGCTGCTAAGCGTGCCGTAACACGGGCGTTGAAAAAAGTTCCAGGTGGCAGCAGTCGCATCGGCAGCGGGAGCGGAGAGCCGAGAGTAGGAAAGGAAGGACGAAATGTAATAGAGGTCAAAAGAAGCATTGATTTAACGTGTGCACTTCCTAACCAAACTCCCCATATTCGCAATCTCCCACTCTCCCTCTTTACGGTTCAGTTCACCTCTATTTCGTCTTCTTCTTTAAGTTCTCCTCTCTCTTCCTGTGTCTTGGGTGCGTGCTCTGTTTTTCGGGACACGACTGTTGTTAATAGTGTGTGTCTGCCTTGCCTAATATTTGAGTGTACGTGTGTGTTTTTGTGCGTGTGTGCTTCATAAATAATTTGTTTAAACTTTAAAGTTTGCCATTTAATTCGCTAAACACACAAGCACACGTATAGCGTGTGAGTGTGTGTGTGTGTAAGTGCGAAAATGTTGATGACGAACCCACTTACGTCTATCGGAAACCCACAAAACCACCACAAACAGCCGCAGCAGCTGAAAAAATCGCATGTAACACACGAACACACACACACTGGCCGAAACACACACGTACAGTTCAATATCCAATAAGAAACCAAGCATAATTACATAATCAAATAAAGGAACGACTTGCAAAAAAGACAAAACAAACGCAGAGCCTAAAAGGAATAAACAAAAAAGCACGAGGCTCAACAGACAAAACAAAAGAAAACCAGAAAGTTTATCAGTACAGAATGCAATGAAACGAAAATCAACGTAACGTGCAGAATTATTTAATCAGCACCAGAGGCCCCCTGGAAACGCCTCAAACAAAAGGAAAAGCGACAACAAAAAAACAAAAGACAAAAAAAAAAACAATGGGAGGAGGAGAAAACTACGTATAGAAAGTAATAATAGAAAACCAATGTACCTGCAACAATGAAATTGAGCAAATCTTAAACAACAAACAAAAAACCAAAACCCAAAAACCGAAAAAACCAAAAAATCACCTGGATAAAGATTACTTTTAAAAATATACAAAGACACTCGCTATATACAAAAGTGCTATAGAACATATACTCGTAATCGATAGGCAATACATATACGCTCTAACTACCCATTTAAACCGTAGTTCGTTGACGTTTGTTCACTGCTGGAGGATACCGATAACGATACCGATAAGGATAGCGATAGCGATAGCGATAGAGAGTACCCCCCAGTCAATCGTTGGATTGGATCGTAGAGTAATGGAACTAACCTCGTAGTTTGTAGAGAGACGTGCGTCTCTGCAAGTAGGAAGCAAATCAAATACTCGTAGCCGCAACATTAACGCACTTAACGACTAACTAAAACTACCAAGTAGTTGCCTCTCTTATACAATATATATAATATATACACCTAAAAGATATATACAAGATACCTAGCTGTAGCCGAACATATACGCCAATCTATATATATATATATCTACCTACATATATGGATTTATTTTTATAATGTCGCTCCGGTGAGCATCCTCCGAACCACTCCCACTCCCAGTCGCAGTTACAGCCCCAGTCCTCGACCTAGGCCTTTCAAATTGCATCTGAATAAGTAACGAGGTCGATTAATGCATTAATTGGGTGGCGAAGGACACCACACTACAGCACAGCGCCTCGCCAAGCCCCTCCAAGGAGGGACCAACCGGTCCGCTCCGGTCCTTGCCCCCGCCCAGCCGCATCCTTTCTCGCTCGCGTGTCGCTCGTGCTAGAATCCAAGGAGAGATACGCGAACACAGCCACACACACACAGACACATTAGATATATAAATACATATATAAGCAAAACTACCTGCTTTGGGTTTCCTGTGTGGCGCCTGCCTTGACGTAACTTTGGCCGTACATACGACAGCTGTAGAGGAGGGACTAGCACCGAAACGCCTTAACCTGAGTCACTTCCATTGCTCCACAGAGCGACCGCATCGCCAGAAAGCCAAACCTTGCCCGCTGTGCGTTCATTAAACTTTCATGACCAAACATTAAATTGCAAAGAGCAAAAGGAAGTAGAAGTGGAAGAGGAAGACGAAAAGGAGATAAGAGAAGCAACCTCCCATTACGATTCCATAGCATACATTTCGGAGTAAGGAAACTAAGCCAGAGTGAAAACTCTCCATCCTCCCCCGGCTCAGTTGTTGTTGTTTGTTTGTGATACATTATTCACCGATCCGGATCTGGATCTTGATCCCGGCTATCCACTTCAGTCCTTCTTGTTATTCGGCCCTAGCTCCAGCTCCAGTTCCAGCCCCACCATCACCTTATACACCACCAAAAAATATTAAAAAAAAACAATAACGATACCGTAGAGGGAAAACGACATTTATAATCCAAAGTACAAACGAATAACCCCAAACAACGCTGCAACTTCAACTAAACTATAAATAGTAACATATGGTATTATTATACATAAAACCCAGCAGAAATAAAGTGTACATCTGTACACCCGTTAGACACATAACCTGAAGCAAACACCCGCATAACGAATAACGAATCGAATCGAAACGGAACGAAACGAGACGTGTACAACCAACCGAAAGCAATACAAGCAAGTGCTGTTAACTATTTTAGGAGCTACCTTTTAGACCTACGTTCAACCTACGTTACTTAATACCCAAGAACCCACCAACACACCGAATCCCAAGCCCGAAACCTAGGCAGGAGGACGACCATCAGCTGGCAATACAGTGAGAGTGAAACAGATAGAGTAACACAACGAAAAGCAATTTATTTCGACGTTGGACCTGTGTTAGTTAATGCCAAAAATCGAAACGGAAGTTGCACACACACACACCCTCTACACTCCACACCAACACCACATACCATCTGGTACACCCACACCTAAAACATGCCCATCACAGTGCTAAGAATTGCATCAGTCATCGCGGGGCGTCCATTATAGAAACGGAATACCCGCGCACACAAAAATCAAAAACACCAACAGCCATCACATCAGAAGTTTAAGGGTAACTGTTACGGATAGAGGACGACGGATAACGGGTAAAAGTCGAAAGTGGCGAGCGAGAGGGCGAAACTTCACCGTTACTCAATGTGGTGCTAGTGGTGGCGACGAGACGGCGGCGGTGGTGACAGAAAATGCACGTGAAACACACTCAGCGCCGAGTCAGCGGTCCTGGAGCATTCGGAACCTTTACCAACGATCAACGGTATGCCAAAATCATCATATAAACCGTATTTCCCTCTATGTCTGTGTCCTTTGTACCGTTATTGTGCACGATCAATGTCCAGTTGTGCGAGTGCGGGCATTGGGTGACACCTGCCAGACACCCTGTGCCCACACTCGCACACCATTAAACGTACAAACATCGATTTTGATGAGATGAATGTAATTCTGTTTCATTTCTTGTGTTGTTTGTTTGGTTTGTGTTCGTTTCTGTTCTTGTTATCGATGGTGTCATTGTTCGTTTGGTTTGCCTCTTCAGTTATCCTGTTATTGTTGTAAATATTGTTGCTGTTGCTGCTGTTGTTGTTGTTGTTGTTGTTACTGTTCACGTTCATCTGTGTTTGTATGTGTGTGAGTGGGGAAGAGTGTGAAGGAGAATATATAACTCGGCCAAATGTTCCACTGTCCTCCATTAGAAGCCCGTTTCCTTTGACCGGCTGCAAGAGCACATTCACATGTCATGCTCCGGTCAGAGGCCAGAGGAGCAACATCCGTCACTCTAGGCAACGCAATTACAAAAACTAGATTAAAAGCCCAACCAACAATAGCAGCAACAATGGATTGACACACACTGAAACACCAGCCAGAACATACAGAGCCACACACAAACACATCCTGTGCGCTAGCACCCACGCTAACACAATGCAACTGCTGGAAAATAGTGTCAAAGTACTTTTGTAGCATACAGCCAGGCGTGACTGTACTTTCAATTGAAATTGAGTTTTCTCTCAGTGTGTGCATGGGCTTGCAGCGGAAGCTTTTGCTTTTGCTTCAATGAAATGATTAAACCACTGACCGAATTTCGGCTGCTGTTATGTGTGTGTCCGTATGTGTATACATCAATAAGCGCTTGCTGCTGTCATTGTTGTTGTTGTTGTTGCTGCTTTCACACAGCTTATTCACATGGACACGACAAAAAGACACTAATACTCACGCAAATAGCCGTTGTTTCCTTACTCTCTCTCCTAGAGGGTGGCGTGCACTCAAGAAGGCTGCTCTCATTGCTGTTGTTCCTTTCGATGTGGAAGAGGAAGCCAGATATTTCCAATTCAACTACAACTGTAGTTCCGCAGAACACGCACAGACATGCACAGATTTGTAAGCATTTTGTTTTTGTTTTCTTATCCCATCAACTAATCTCATTTTAGTTATTTGTTTCGCTTCAGTTGGTTTTTGTCTTCGGTTTGTTTTGGTCTTCGTTTTAATTTGCATTCGTGAATAACTGGGATTTATTTTGTGTCACTGTTGTTATTGTTGTTTTACAGAAAACTTTGCTTAAAAGTACAAAAAGTTGAACCATAAAGTAAGCATTACCAGAAAAAAGAAAACTTAAAAAAGATAAAGAAAACAGACCAGAATCCGAACCCGAACCCGAACGAACAGAAGCGAAATCAGATCAAACAAAAATTTCGACAGCTGCCCTGACATCATCAGCGAAGGTACCGCCCGACAAAAAGTTCTGAATAAACCTCCCCCCCTCTCCTCTTTCTGTCTTTCTCTTTGACTCTCAGTCACTGCCTTCTCCCGCTCTCTATAAATAAACATGCATATATTGTAGTTTCTATACAACGGTATTTCTCCTAATACTAATACTACTAATTCTACTACTAATACTACCGCTACTTGTTACCAAACTACAACTATGTACAACTGCAACACAGAATAAGATACACTTTTAAATGCTATTAAATTTGCTGCTCGCTCTACTACCCTACCCCTCTTCCCACACACACTCGCCCCAGCAAGTTGTGCTCCACAATTTCTTGCTGCAAGTAAAAGTAAACCCATTAACTTTGGTGCACTTTGCTATCTCCCTTAACCCATCTCCATGCAGGGTCCCCTAGACAAAAGCGACTCTGAATTCCGAATGCATCGCTTAATTTTGCCTGCTTAAGATCTTGCCTTTCCTTTATGTACATCCCACACCTCCAGACCCAGACCCGTAAATCTTAGCCTTCATATTATTCCTTTAAACCTGTATAACTTTTTCAAAATTTTTATTTTGGAATCGCATGACAAGTGCTTATGATGTAGCATTTCTTTGTTTGTTGTCTCTGATGATTCTCGTGAAAAAGGTTTATTAATTGCGCGGCTGTTTGTATAATTAATGGATTATATTGTTACGAATCTGGTTAGCCAAAAATTATTATGTGAATCACAGCGAGTTTTGTCTGTCATTTGGCTGTCCAGCCGGAAATCTATTCAAATTGCAAATTAATTAATTGCCAGATTGGATGACATTGGATGACCTACTTGAGTACATTTCCATTGCTAAAACCAGACAGATTTTATATTGAATTTGCTATAAGATTGGTTATAAATCGGTTCAACCTGTTGCCATTAGAGGCTTAACTAAATGTTGCTTAAATGATTTGAAAAATAAATATAATTACTCAATGGGTGTTTTAATGTAGCCCAGAGTGTATCAGCCGCTACATTTTCAAACAATAATCACAGATAAACGCAGATTTGTTCAAATAAACTGCCAGCTGTGACCCCACTCCGGCCCGCACAGCCTTTTGTGGATTGGCGTAATTGTAAATATTTGGAGCACTAAAAATGGAAATTTTCGTAATTTGTTTACAATGAAATGTGTTTCGAGTGGCATGTTTGGTAATTTGCTTTCAATTTTGTTTGATTTTGCCAGCTCATGCGCCATTAAATATTTCATATTGAACATTTCCCTAAATATTTGCCAAAATTCATTTAAAAATAGTTCCCCCAGGGGCCGTGGCCAGGTAGTAATTTCAAAGTTCACGAACAGAAAAATCATTCAAAACTAAATCGAATAGTGAGTAATTTTGCGCAAGGTAATTTGAGTTGCACATGTGAACAACTATACTAAATTATAGATGATGTATATATATATATACATATGTGCAGTTCCCCTATTTGGGGGCTCACAGCTTCCACTGTTTCAAGATCGATAAACGAAGTGGAATTCAGGCAGCGAGGCAGCCGGCTCAATTAGGAACTTACGCGCAATGCTCTCAATTGGCTTTTGAATTATTAATTGTTGCACAGTGTGTGTGTGTGGCAGCACGTGCTCCACTAATCCCCACTCAGTCCAAGCTGGAAGAGCACTCCACAATGCAGCAAAGTTGTCATTGGACAAGACAGCAGCTAAGACTGTGGCTGTGGCTGTGTCTGAGGGTGGACTGCCCTGCCGCATTACTTTTTTCGAGTCCCATACAATTACCCAACAAGGTTGTCTTATTTGTTTGCTCAGACCCCAAAAACTGGACTCGAACACACACACCCATTGTGGCTCGGCGGGCATATACTTTTGACTGCAGCACTTGACAGGTGGCAAACACTCGAAACGAAATGAAAAAAAAATGCCATCAGCAGCAGCCTGGCTATCCACAGATTTCATCTCTGTGTTGGGGCTGGAATTCCCCCTGGGGTGGGAAGCCAAGAGCCGCTGTCGATGCTTTCGCTTTGATTGGGCAAGTAACTGAAATGGACTTTCGGCCAGATTAGGTCTCAGATACACACACAAACACACACACACACACTTCAGAGCTGTCTAACTGCTGAAGTGGGGCACACTCATCGGCTGGGACGCATTGGCGTGCAAATATTTGAGATATTTACTTTTGCTTACAGCTCCAGCTCCAATTCCGATTCTCCGATTCCGATTCTCATTCAAATGCAAATCCAAATTCAGATAATTGCGCCCATGGCGTGAGGGAGAGCACCTAATTGACTGAAATTGATTTCACTCGATTCCGGCGGATGGTTTGTGTGGGATAGTAGGATTACGTATACATTTATGTACATATTTACTTTACAACATTTGCCCTGCTCTCCTCCCTCTGGCTTTGGCACATGCTCTGTCAACGGGAGTGTCGGCTCGACTGGGGCCCCAGTCCCGAATGCGTCGCACACCCACCCAGTGAGGGAGCTCCCTGCATCAATTGTTTTCCTTTTGTTCGAATCTACACACACACACACACACAACATGCACACACACTGCTCCAGGGGGTTCGTTCGGCTTAGTTCTGTCAACAATAGTTTTCCTCACGTTTCATCGCATTGATTGGCCCCCAGCTGCACAGTGGGCCACATCCATCACAAACTCTCTTTGCTTGTGTAGCTACCGCAGCTGCCGTTTCATGCCACTGTAGCCGCACATTTGCTCCCACGTTTTATCAGTCGACGCAGCCTTATCTTATCTCGCAATTCGCAAGCTTTTAGGGCATGTTTTGATTAAGAGCACTTCCGCCCAGCCGCTGTTTAGTTCCATTTTGGGCACGCGCTCTCATATATCGGTTGTAAATCTTCATCTGCATCCAAGCTGCTCCAAACATATCTCTGCATTTGTAGCTATTTGTATCTGCTGTGTGCCGGGGGCATTGCGTGCTGCTGTACATTAATTTAGTTGAATATTTCGCGCGATCAGCAACCAGATGAGCATGTCAACCATTGTTATATAGATGTCTTTATAAATTGTATCACACATCTAGAGCAGCGGCATGATGAACTCACACCAGCACACACTCGTTGCTGGGGGCATACGGTCCTCCTCTGACTCCCCGCCTCCGCCTCCTCTCATGTTGCACAATCAATAACTATAATTAACATTTTTCTTTGTTTTTCTGTCGCGGTTTTTCCACACACATGTTTCCTGCTCACTTAGCGTAGCAAACTCACTGCCTCTGTCCAGCAGAATCCCCCTCCTGACCACCCCCCAATGCTGCACATATTTGCCAATTTGAAATAGATAAATTTGAGTGTTTTGCGGCAATTCTTGCCATTCGTTCCAGCATCATTTATCCGTCTCATTCTTGTCTCCTCTTTCTTTCCGCTGACTCTAGTGCTAGCCGCGACAACTTGTTCCCCGACGACCATCAGCAGCAGCAACAGCAGCAGCAGCCTCCTCAGCGCCACTCGCACTCGCACCAGCACTTGGTGCGGCAGTCTCTAAGCAGTCTCAGCCACGGGCAGGCGTCATCCGGATCCGGGCCAGCGGGGGATGAGCAGCGGGCCCACCAGCAGCAGCAGCAGCAACAGCAACAGCAGCAGCAGCAGCAACGCCATCGCAGCAGCAGCAGTCGGCTCTCGAGCGGCATCTCGAAACAGAACTCCAGCGATAGCCGCAGTGGACTGCGCATCCTCGATAGCCACAGTCCGGTCAGCTGCGGCACGCACAGCGTGAGCAGCACTGGCGGCCACTCGGCGCTCTACGATGCCTGCCACGAGTACACGCGCAGCTTGAGTGCAGCTCCAACAGGCGACACAGGATCGGGTGCGGGCATATCGTTGCTGAAGGGACACTACAGTGACCAGCAGCTAGCGCAGCCAGAGCCAGATCCAGAGCCAGACCCGGAGCGAGACAGAGATCGGGACAGAGACAGGGAGAGACGACATCTGACGAATCTCAATCTAAATCTGAACAGCGAGTACGACTACAGCGGAAGCGACAAGCAGCAGCTGGTGAACGAGACGTACATCTTCAAGTGCATAGCCAATAGTCCGTCGTTTCTGCGCACCAACAAGATCAAGGAGCAGTCCAAGAAGCTGCGCAATCTCTCTCTGAAGACGCGCACGGCCAAGAAGAAGGGTCAGATCATCTCGAAGTCGAACGCGGTGTCGGATAACTCGCTGCATCCGGGCGACAAGTACCTCAACTTGTATCTGGTGGAGAAGAAGCACTCGCTGCAGCCACAGGCAACATCCACATCCACGTCCACCTCCAATCCGCACTCTGCCTCCGCCCCGGCCAGCTCATCCTCCTCATCCACGGCGACAACTGGGCGTCAGCAGCAGCAGTCGCAACAGCTGCCAGCACTCTCCGCGGTTGCCGCACGCCAGCAGCAGCTGCTACTCCAGAACGGATCGCTGAAGAGCAAGACGAAGACCTTCCCGGCGCACAGGGCGTCCGTGAAGAGCGAGAGTGAGTATCGCGGGAGCGGCAGCAGCACCATTCCGACGACGGGCAAGAGTCCGCCGGTGCCGCACTCGCTGGCGGCCAAGATAAGCAGCGGCAAGAACTGCAATCAGCTGCAGAGCGCCGGCAACAAGCAGCTCAGCGTCAGCAGCAACTCATGCCACAAGCTGCATGCCCACGGACACGGAACCGGACACGGACACGGCCAGTACGCGGGAGCACAAGCACACCATTTGGCCTCATCGCCCAAGAGCTCGGTGTCGAGCAACGGACACCTGAACAAGTACTGCCTGACAGACATCACACGCCGCAAGGCTGAGTTCAATCGCCAGCTGAGCGCCCCCACGGACTACACGCATCACTCCTCCAGCAACGGGTCCCAGCAGGAGGGCTCCTCCGAGGCTGCCAATGAGGCTGTGGGCGAGTCAACCATCACTGTAGCCAGTGCGGGAGTTTTGGGAAACGGCGCCGGCCACGGCTATCCCTACATCCATCACGCCTCGGCCACAGCGCCGGCCAATCTCAAGGCATCGCTGCAGCTGCACAACTTCGGTGTCCACCATCCGTACCCGTATCCGTCGCGTCCCACGTCCACCTCGTGCACGAACAGCTTCAACCGCCGCCACATTCGACGGCACAAGAGCAAACTCGGCGAACGGTGAGTACTTGCCAGTACCTGTAGTTAAGAGAGTGAGAGATTCATTACAAGTGTACAAAATTACGCATGCAAAGCGCTGCCACAGTCACCCGAGACGACGACTGTCTCTTACCGGTTTTGTTTTAATTTGTTTTTTTTTTTTTTTTGGTTTACTGCGGCATTATCGCCGATATTTGCATAATGCCATCTCTGCCCGGGTCTGGGCATGGGCCCGGTTCGTGTTGTCTTTGTAGCTTTGGACTCGGCACAGTCCGTGCAGTGAACTTTAGCCGTGATTAGAAAACAAAACAAATCAAGGATATTCCAATATCGATTAGCGATAAGCAATTAGAAATCGATCGATAGTCGGGAATCGGAATATTTCCCCTTATTTTGTTGTAAGCGATGCGGAAAACTATCTTCATTCTCATATGTATAACGATTCGATTCGGCCCGGCAACTGGCGCAAGTAAACGGCAGAGTCAATAATATGTTCAATTTATTGCACCAGTTCCACAACGAAAGAGAGAGAGAGAGAGGGAGTGAACGAAGCGACCAAGACCCAGACCCAGACCTAGCGTCTGGCTTCGCTTCCTTCTTGCCCCTTTCCAGACAGATCACAGAGCAAAGCAGACCAGAGGCAGAGCGGATCGCATACATTTGCATAAAATCTAAACGAAATTCTCGAATCGAATCGGATCGTATGGGATCAGATCAGAACGGATCGTTTGTTTGTTTATGTTTCGTTTTTGAATAGTTTGCGGATCGTTGCTTTTATTGGCATCAATTTCTGAGTTCTGCGAAGAATGGCAACGAATTACAGGCCCGGGGTCCAGCCATAATTTGCGGCTCGTCGCGTCGCGAAATCAATTAAAAAGCTACACAAATTCTTTATTTATTTATTGTGCAACAGCGCCGCGAGGTTCAGAACAGGTTATCAAGTTGTCGTCGCAGCAGCACTAGCAGCAGCAGCAGCATCCAGCATCGACATCAGCTTAATAAATTCAGAATAAAGAGTCAGCCCCAGCTCGAGCTTAAGCCTCTGCCCCTGAACATGTCGTAGACGAAACAAAAAACAGTAAAAACAGAAAACTATAAACAGTAACAGTAAAAAAAGGAACGGGAAATCAGAAGAGAAGAAACTATCGTCAAGTGCACAAGCTGGTGTCAATCTCTCAATTATCTTCCATTTCATTAGGCAATTGCCAGCCAATTTCGGCCTTTTCTGCTCTCAGAAACGACTGCATCATATACAGATCCGATACGATCCGATCTGGATCGCCAGCAATTGATGTTCGAGGTAATACCCGTCGGCGCACAAACGAAAGCAAAGTATTCTCTCTGCCAGCGTCTACGTAGACGGAGATCTCTAACGTCTCTCGCGATCCGTATCCGTAGCGTACCGCCCGCGGCTTCTGGAGGACGCCCGAAGGCGGCTCCGAAACGGCGTTCGGTCATTCGGAGTGTTTGCCGGCCACAGCTGTAGCTGTGGGCACTGTGCTCGGCCCGTGCCGTCACTAGTCGCAGAAAGTTTGCCGCTGTAACAACGTGGAGTACTCATTGAACAGAATTAAAAACCAAATCATACTCGTGCCCGCCAATACCCTATGTGTGAGTCGTTAAATCAGAGACAAAACATCTGCAGCGGCACGTTCCCAGTTGCCAAACAGAACACAGTGAAAACAAAAAAAAAACAACAAAAAGTAAACCACAATTAGGAATCGTAGAACCAAACAATTTATGTGTAATCCAATATCTGGAAATGTTAGAGCTCGTTCTGCGGTTCTGTACCGTCTGTCTGCCTATGTGTGTGCATTCCGAATCATAATAACTAATAAATTCATTACGGGCGATGTTTAAATTAAATCAGCTTCGTTCATCAGGCTTAATTAAAATGAAACTTTCCCATTTCAAAATGTAAATGAAAACCATAAACCATCAATTGAGTGTGAAGAGGCGCAAAAAAAATGAAATAAGTACAAATGCCAAAGTGAAATAATAATAATAATAGAAATACATACAAATACAAATGCGATTACGAGTCCGAAACCGAATACGAAAAGTACGAATAACCGTAACATTCACAGCCACCGCACCGAATGGGAGAGTAACGTAACTGCTGCTCGCGTCGTCCGTCTCCTAACAATAGATCCGCGCTGAATACCACGCGATTTGTCGTTTAGTCTCCCCTCCTCTTCTCTCTCCTTTTCTCGCTCTGCTGTGCTCCAAAAAAAAACACAAGCAGAGCAAACATTTCCGCAGCGTCGTGCGGGGTGTGGTGGAGTCTCGGTGCCGGAAAACCTTGGCAATCAGCATCGAATGGGCAAGGTGAGACGAGGAGCCCAAACCAGACGGCGTACTCTCTGTCGCACTCCATACCGTTAAACCTTGCAACGTGCGTGTGGCATAATTAAAAACGAAAAAAAAACGCGACCGGCGTGCCAACCTACCCCACCCCAAACCACCTTGACATCCCGCGTGGAGCGTGGAGCCTACTTTCACTTTATCGGGGAAGCGACCTTATGGCATCAATTGTAGCGGAATATTTTCAGGAAGTGATTTCAGGGCTTCAATTATGTTTTATGTTAATCGGAATTAATTGTTCTGCCTGTCCCTCAGATCTGGGAATAAGAAAGTTCAGCGAAAGCCAAAACCAAAGCCAAAGCCAATTACAGTTACTTCAAACCGACTCCGAGTAGCGGGAATGCAAGACAACTCAAGACAACAACTATAAAGTATTTGTAAATACGCGTATCGGATGTCTTTCCTCGTATTTTGAGACTTTGGTTTTAGGCAGAATTCCAGTTACGTAGAATGAAATCTGAGGCGTGTTTATCCCATGGTCGGAATGTTGACCATATGTCGCACTTATGTGTTCTTTATGTACATTTACACATTGTAACAATGTTCTCCCATTTACAGTGTGCTGAGCGGCGATAGTGAGGAATCGGTGCGCTGCTCGTACTGCTCCGTCTTGAATGTGAATGAGAACGACTTGCGGATTTCGTTTGAAAACACCTGCACCGACTCGCTGGTCACCGCTTTCGATGATGAGGCACTGCTAATATGCGACCAAGGAACCGAAATGGCAAGAGCAAAGGTTTTATATGTACTATTTGCACAGGACAGATCACTCCCACAACCCCACAAAACACACATCATTAACAGACTATACATGACAACAACTCAGGCCAATTTATAGAGAGAAAGAAATGCGGAATATATATTTATTGATGAATGAATTTGTTTATCCACAGGTACACTTTGATGACGTGTCGTTATACGGCACTCCGAAAGAGGAGCCGATGCCGAACATACCGATCGTGTCGGAAAAAGTCTCTGCGAATTTCCTAAAAAGTCAATTGCAATCATGGTTCCAGCCGACGGACAATCGTCTGGCCATGAAACTGTTTGGCAGCCGCAAGGCATTGGTCAAGGAGCGCATACGTCAGAAAACTTCCGGTCATTGGGTCATACACCCGTGCAGTTCATTCAGGTGAGTTCTGCTGGCTCAGTGATTCCACGATGGCTGTTTTCCCCCTTTGCTAATGTGTTTAAAAAATCAATCTGATCGACAGGTTTTACTGGGACCTTTGCATGCTTTTATTATTAGTAGCAAATCTTATTATCCTGCCAGTCGCAATATCATTCTTCAACGATGATCTGAGCACACGATGGATTGCCTTCAACTGCCTAAGTGATACTATTTTTTTAATAGATATTGTAGTCAATTTTAGAACAGGTAATGCACACAATCTACTAACAAATCAATCCTACAATGCCTCCCCGGACACCTCAAACTACACCGAGACCATGCGGTTGTGGTTCCTTTTCAGTTTTCTGTTTTCTGTGTTATAATCTCATCTCTCGCCCCGAATGTTTTTAGGAATTATGCAACAAGACAACGCTGAACAAGTAATATTGGATCCAAAGCTTATAGCTAAACACTATTTAAGAACTTGGTTTTTTCTCGATTTGATTTCGTCGATACCGCTAGATTATATATTTTTAATTTTCAATCAAGTAAGTCCATGTATTTTGAGAAGCAGTACGCAACACATTGATTAAGATTATGAAATTGCAGGATTTCTCTGATTCTTTTCAAATTTTGCATGCCGGACGAGCACTGCGCATCCTGCGGCTAGCTAAACTACTCTCCCTCGTCCGCCTGCTCCGGCTGTCCCGCCTCGTGCGCTACGTATCCCAATGGGAGGAGGTCTATGTGAGTACTCACGGCTACATTTTGCCAACGTTTGAAACGTTTCTCGTTACCGTTTCGTTTCCTTACCATTGTTTCGTTTTGCATAACGTATTTAAATTTCTTGATTTCCCTTTTATTGTAATGTCTAACAATATCATTGTACGATGTTACATGTCCATTACATATGTAAATTCAGTGTGTATGTATCTCTGATTCCTGAGTTTCGTCATTCATGTTTTAGTTCCACTTTGAGTTAGTGTTTGAGTTTCCATTTCCGTTTCGATTTCGGTTTCAGTATCAGTATCTCCCTTTCGTTTGCGATCCAATTCTCGACCGTAAGATCAGCATACTCGCTAAATACTATCTACTCGTTCGTTCGTTCACTCGCCACACCACAAACAGATTTCGATATATCGAGTATCTAGGATCTGTCTACACATAGTGACTGCAGTCAGGCTTAGCACAGATGTCAGGGATCAAAGGGTCGATGGTCACAGGGGACTAGTCCACGAAGTGCTCACTTTTCTTTGCTGAATGAATATGTATCTATATGCCACACACACAACCATCCGCATGTATCTGATATTGTGTATCCACATGTGTGGGGCCGTAACTGAAAATGTTCAAACTATGTACTATTTGATTTGAGTTGTTATCTGGAAAGCTCTGTGTCTCTTTGATTTCCGTTTAAAACCTTATGCGTTCGATTACCCAAAACGTTTTATTTACCAAGTAATATGATACTATTTTTCTCGTACCGTACCGTTTCCTAATACCGTAATACCGTTTAAATGTCTATTAAACCAGAACGAACATAGACCCTAACCAGACAATCGCTGTACCATAAGCCAATTCCAACTCCAAACTCCAACTCAGTTTGTAAATTATACAGTTGTGTATTCCCACCTCCACCACCATGATGTTTGTTTCGTTTCGTGTTGTGCGCCTGCTGCGCTTCGAGTCCCAGACCAGATCCATCCTAAAAACTCCCCCCAAAATAGGCCAAAAACTGCAAAAACACAACATTCAACATCTATGACACACACACAAACACTCACACACATAAAAAGCATAAATAATGAAAAGTTTTAAACACATAGAGACACCACACACACAAATCAAACCGAATCGAATCGAATCCGAATACTTTTTTTTACCATCTAACGCGCTCTAAGCCAAGCTTGAGGACTTCACGGGAAGATCCCTTTGCTTTCTTTCCACATTTCTTCTGTTGAGTCTTCGATTTACCGCTTCTGTTGATCTGATATTCGATTTTCTGTTCATTTCTTGCTGACTTTGAAGCACTCAAACCAATTCTTCATTGCACTTTGTACAACTTCTTTGAAACGAAGGACATCTCCGGCACTCTCAGGTGTTTCAGGAATGCCTTTGAATCTCTCTCTCTCTCTCCTGTCTCCCGTCTCTCCTATCTTTTCCCTCTCTCTCAAAAAAAAAGCTCCCTACCCTTATCCGAAATCCAAACGAAACCAAACCTCCACCCCACCACACCTCACTCCGTTTTGAGATACGTACAACTACAGTTTCTTAAAGGATATACTCGTATAAGCCTAACTTGGAAACCCCACATACCTTATGATTTATGTTTATTTTGTTTTTGAACCAACCGCTCAACGAAAGCGATGTAAGAAAATAAATACCGAAAAAGAATCCAAACAAAGAATTGCAAAATGATTAAGAAAATGAAAACGAAAATCAAAATCAGATTAAGAATCCCAGTAAAGAGATCAAAAATGAAATAAAAATAAACAAAATACAAATTCCAATAAGTTGAATCAGGGCCTAAAATACCTGTGTATATATATGGTTTTAGATTCTGCAGAATCTACAGAAAAAAAGTGCTGATCGCAGAGGGAGAATGCACAGAAAAGACAAAGATGGCTTGACAAAAAGCAACCTAATTCTCAAGGTAAACCATCCAATAAAAATAACAAAACAAAAATCAACAAAACACAACAACTTCAATATACATTCGTTGATAAACAAAAACAAAAAAAATACCTTGATTGATTCAAATTATAATTATGTATAATTATGACTCAACATGACTCAACTATTTTGAGGACTGTTTGAGCCAAAAATTCAGTTTTAGTGCATCATTTCGTTCGATTGTTCGTTCGTTCGATTGTTCGTTGATCATGTTTGCTTGATTTTATCGTAATGTTCGTTCGTTCGTACGTTCTGTAAATTTCTGAGACTGCCTTTTTATACACACATTGATTGATTGATTGATTGATATTGTGACCATAGTACATATTCTCTATTTCTCATTTGATGCATACAAAAAATAAAAATAAGACCAGCAGGAACAAAGAGAAGAATTTCAGTAATCGACTCAATCTTCGGTACAAAATCGAAGCTCTTTCACGCTCTTCACACGTTTTGGGGATAAGATTTCTCGATTGAGAATTCTTTAGTTATGGTAGATTTTGTTTACCATGCATGGGCATGATTGAAAGTCCTTTCGTACTGCTGTATCTTTTGCTCCGAACCACAGACTAGCTGGGTTACACTCATAGTCCTCTTTTTTAGCGTTGTGAAGAGCCTGAAAACAGATGACAGATCTCAGCAGAAATCAATCTGAAGCGGTTTTTTGCTCTGTGCTTTTCCATTGAAGTAGAGTAGCAGCCGCAGCAGCTGAGCTGTTGATTCCACTGTAAAAATGCCCATAAACTGCACCATTAGAGAGTTGTTGCTGTTGCTGCTGCTGCTGCTCTCCGCTTTTGCCAGGAGTCTTGTGAAAACGCTGCACCGCATTGCCACATACATATGTATCTATTCCGGTTTGAAATGCCCAGGCTCAGACATCACAGATAAACACATACACGAGATAGTCAATCGATAAATCTGCCGGGTTGTATGCTGATTGCCTGAGGCGCTGGCTAACAGATCAACAGATCAATCAGATCGAACACGAACACTGTACTATATCTAGCCACGTAATACTCGTATAACTATAGCATACATTTGTGGGCCCGTGCCGAAACGCTTTCTACATCCTAAGCCTATCGTATCTATCGTACTCAACCTAACCTCACCTTTGATCGACACTCTGCTCAATGCTTTCTTCTGCTTTCGTTAGGCGCCATATTTGTGCTGCGCGCTTTCCTGCTCCCCCACTCTCTACACTCTCTCACACACACACTCTCTCTCTCTCTCTCCTGCTCCCAATTACTCTTTAACAAACACAACTGTACTGCTACCGTTGCTACTGCTGTTGCTACTGCTGCTACTGTTGTTTCTGTTTTTGGTTGTGGTTCTGTTTTTTTTTTTTGGGTTGACTGTTACCCTTGGTTGTGTTCTCTCCTTTCCCTCCCTTTCTTTCTGTTTTTTGTTTCTGTTGTACAAAGGATTTCAGCAAGAGCGCGTCGTAACGGTTTCTGTAAGTGTCCGAAATGACTTTCGGAGTTGTGGTACGCACACAGACACCATACACGTACACACGCACCCGCACACAGCAGCTGATTTCTTGAATGCAACTCTGTTCCTGCTCCTGTTCTCTTTTCTCTCTTTGTTATCCTTTCGTTTGGTTATGTTCGTTTGAAATTTGTTGGTTTGTTCGTTTGTTTTATATAAAGAAAAACAACAACTTTTGTACAGAATTTACGTAGTACAAATTACTAACAACTGAGAAAGTCAGAGCCCGCCCAACAAGCGCTTTCATTGTAAAATACCAGTTTCGATATTTCAATAATTTGAACGTTTGAACGGCTTTAGTGTTGAAAACAAGTACAAAAATAAAATATGAAAAACAAAAGTAAAGATGAGCACCTTGTACCATAATTTAGCAGCTGATTTTGCACTTATTTCGAAAACGTAGAAATGGTTTGAATTTGAATTTGAATTGAGTTTGGATTGATTGCTCAGGCTGTACACAGTACACTGTACACTGTAAACAGTATCGTACACTGGACACTGTTGCATTTGCCTAACATTAGACTAATCTTATATTATTTTTACCCTATCAGATGTACTACTACTACTACTACTACTTTTATTGTATTGATAGCGAGTTTCCGACTGCGTCCATGTCCAACTCCTGTCTCTGCGACTTTCCTGATTCATTCTGCCGGAAAGGGAAGTCGCAGTTACATGATCTGGACCTCTAGACTGCATAAATTCTTGTTTAATGGCTGTGGTTTGGTTTTGTTTTAGTTGCTTTGATTGGCATAACTGCAAATAACTGTTCTATTTAACGGTAGCTGAAAGCTAAAGTTCACCAAAATGCGCAATTTCAACAATTCCAATGTTCCAATGAGTTCCATTTTATTGTTTTGGGTTTTCTTTCCCGTTTACCCGATACATTTGGTTTGCCGTACATGAATTTGTTTAAATGTGAAACTCACTCAAGATGTAACACGCACACACACACACACACAGACACAGATACACTGACACCCACACCAACACACACTCAAAAACACATTAGTGAGCGGTGTCGGACCTCTGGGTTGATTGTCGCATTCGTATCTGATTGAATACTCTGGTTACAGTTCCTCAATATGGCCTCGGTGTTCATGAGGATCTTCAATTTAATTTGCATGATGCTCTTGATCGGACACTGGAGCGGTTGCTTGCAGTTCTTAGTGCCAATGTTGCAGGGTTTTCCATCGAACTCCTGGGTATCCATCAACGAGTTGCAGGTGCGGTAACCCCCATCCTAAATCGGTGAATCGTGCCGAGTCGTTTGTATCGGGTGGCTAATTCAATTCGATTTCAGGAATCCTACTGGCTGGAGCAGTATTCGTGGGCATTGTTCAAGGCCATGTCGCACATGCTGTGCATAGGCTACGGCAGGTAAGTTCCCACAAATTTCACTCTCCTCTCCTGATGGAAACCTTAATTCGATTCGTTTTGATTCCTTCAGATTTCCACCACAATCACTGACAGACATGTGGCTGACGATGCTGTCGATGATATCCGGCGCCACGTGTTACGCATTGTTCCTGGGTCATGCGACCAATCTCATCCAGAGCTTGGACTCCAGCAGGCGACAGTATCGCGAGAAGGTCAAACAGGTGGAGGAGTACATGGCCTACCGCAAGCTGCCGCGCGACATGCGACAGCGCATCACGGAATACTTCGAGCATCGGTACCAGGGTAAATTCTTCGATGAAGAGTTAATCCTTGGCGAGTTGAGCGAGAAATTGCGCGAGGATGTCATTAACTACAATTGCAGGTGGGGCGATCTTTCCACTAGTTCTCTCAACCCATCCAAGTCGTCGTGTTATAACAAGCCGCGCGTATCCCAAATCTCTTGTATTGTAATCGTTCTACTTTTTCAACCTTTCACAGATCCCTCGTGGCGTCAGTGCCTTTTTTTGCTAATGCCGATTCGAATTTCGTTTCCGACGTAGTTACCAAACTGAAATACGAAGTTTTCCAACCAGGTGATTGATTCACAGTGTCTCCAAAGCTGTTCCCACTCTTAACGTTCTGCTATTTCAGGTGATATTATCATAAAGGAGGGTACGATCGGTACAAAAATGTACTTCATACAGGAGGGCGTGGTGGACATTGTCATGGCTAATGGCGAGGTAATGCTCAGTCTCTTCTCTTGTTGATTTCTGTAGCTAATTGTTCGTTTGTTCAACAGGTTGCCACCTCACTATCGGACGGATCTTACTTCGGTGAGATCTGTCTGCTGACCAATGCGCGTCGTGTGGCCAGCGTGCGAGCCGAAACCTATTGCAATCTATTCTCGTTGAGCGTGGATCATTTCAATTGCGTGCTGGATCAGTATCCGCTGATGCGCAAGACCATGGAGACTGTGGCCGCCGAGCGGTTGAACAAGATCGGCAAGAATCCAAACATAATGCAGCAAAAGGACGAGCAGCTGAGCAATCCCGAGTCGAACACTATTACGGCCGTGGTGAATGCCCTGGCTGCCGAGGCCGATGAATGCAAGGATGAGTAAGCGTGCAATCAGCATCGGATTTGTTGTGCAATTTTCTGTATTACTTTTGCTTTCTTCCCATTACAAGCAGTGACATGGATCTCAAGGAGAATTTACTGCATGGGTCAGAGTCGAGCATTGCTGAGCCGGTGCAAACGATACGCGAGGGTCTGCCCAGGCCTCGGAGCGGGGAGTTTCGTGCCCTGTTCGAGGGCAATACCCCATGACACTGAGCCGCGGCGATGACGATGGCGATCACGATGAAGAGCGGTGCTGGCGGGCATCGAGCATCCATATGAAAGGCAGTTTTGCAGGACACACACTCACCCACACCCACACACACACACACTGACACATGCGTATATAATAATTTAGTAAATGAAAACCCCCGAGAGGAAGCGATAAGAGAAGAGTACACTAAAAAAAGAATCAATTTACGGTAGACACTCTATATATGCAATTGCAATTTAGTAGAAAAACAATTAAAAACGAAAAAAATCCAAAAAAAGAACAAAACAATTACACAAAAATGTCCTCAATAATTATTCATAATTTCAGCTCCGCTAACTGTGATGACTTTAATATAAGAATCGAAAAAAAACCAAAAAAAAAAACAAAAAAAAACAATTACATACAAATATAAATTATATGATAGAGAAGACAGATCCGAATCAGATCCACACAGATGCAGCCCCCACACCGCCATAGAAGAGTTTGCCACACACACACACACACTCACAAAACACACACACCAATACACAGAGAGAGACATACCTTATAGGGAATCTACATCTAAGTTTTATGCCCACGATATTGTAACGATTACAAAGTGCGTAGACTTTTGTTAATTGCTACACCTAGGCGTTAGTCCTATGGACCTACTACAGATATACAACCACACCCACAACACCACACTCCACACACCTGTAGAGTGGAACAGGGTAAACAGACAGACAGACAGACAGACAGACCAACAGATCCGCAGACACGCATCAACTTATGATATAAATGAAACGAAGGAAAGCGTGAAGAAGGCATACCAAAACATATTTATGCGCGTAGCTATTATGTACTCGAGCAACCAACAAAACAAACAAACAAACAAAACAAACAATTATGTATTATTGCGATTATATAGCATATTTAAATACGCATTGCAAAATGGAAAACAACATAACTCAGCAATATACAAGAAAACAAAAACAAAAAGTATTTAAGCAACAAATTTAACGAATGCGCATTAGTAGTTGAACTATTAGTTTTTCACTCACTAAACAAAACTAACAAAACAAACAAACAACAAATAACACCACTCGACACACAACGTAGTAGAGAAGCCTCAACAAAAACAAAAAACAAAACAAAAATACGAGTATGTTAAAGAGAAAACCAACCTCAGGGTGCCGTCGTTTCAGCGGTCACCAGCCGAAAAAAAAACAAAACAAAAACAAACAAAAAAAAGGAAGAACAGACAAGAAACCAACTATATACACGACATATATATACAACAACAACAAAAACATAGACATTGTTGTCTTTTATAGGGAATTGTTATAAAGTATCTCAGTTTTTGGTTATATTTCAAGTATTTATTGCCGCCTGCCGCTGGGCATGGATCATGATTTTCCATTCAGATTCCGAATTTCCGTTCAGGAATACAAAAATATTTAGTTTGCGAGCGAGATCTCTGCGCAAGTGGTTCGTCTTTGAGTCCTTGTTTGTCTTACTTTCAAGCATAAATCAGGCAAAGGACAGCGACTTGTCGGGGGATTTATGTAACTTAGTATTTTATTACACGTAAATAATAAAAAGAAAAGCAGGACAGCGTTTGCCTTAAAATAAAATAAAACGATTCGTTTCACTACCAGAAAATAATAAAGAAAACAGCTGGTCAACAAAAAATATAACGTAAAAAACCAAAAAAAAACGCGACTAGGCGACTGTGAATTGAATATTGAATGAATATTATATGATTAATCTTCAAAATGGTAACTGGGCTGCTAGGATTGCAAGCAGCGACGTACCAGGCCCGAGTCTAATAGCGAAAGATTTAAATTAACATTATCCCCGTCGACGAGCACCACATGCGCAATGTTGTTCTGAAAAATTAAAATTTATATCTGCGCTTCCAAGTTATAATCTTAGCCTCCTACCTTGATTGCCTCCACTTTTGCAAAGAGTCTGCAGTAGCTCACTTGTTGTTTGAATGTGGCAACAGCCTTCGAGGACCAGCGCGGACTCTTGAGCGGTGACACATAAGCCATTCGGCCCTGTATTGCTTGCGGCGGCATGTCGGCGAATTGGTTCATTAGAAACTTTACGTCCTTGGTGTACACGGTATCGATTACACCCGTATCGATGAGCTCCACCTCAATGGTCTTGCGCACAGTGTCCGTACGTTGGCTGATGATCTTGGCACGCTCCCACTCCGATGAATTTCTGGGGCAGACGACACACAGGTGGCCAGGCGTCAGCAAGCACTGGGGCATCGTGAATATTGTCGAATCCAAGCGCTTGTAGACTTCCCTGCAAACAAAACAGTGAATAAGAGAAACTAGAAAAAAAGGGATTGCCTTACTGTATGTTGCTTGAAAATGTATGATATGCGTCGTAGTCGTCGTATATCCAGAAGTGGAAGCTATGCGGATTGGTCACCTCCACAAGCTGCAGGAAGTAGCGCTCGTCCACTTTGAGATCTTTTTCCAAGTCGCGACGCTGCATCTTGTAATCGGAGCGAACGGTGTCACGCGGATAGTCGACACCAAGAACACGTTGATCCTGCAAGAGAAGTAAAAATCTCATTTTCCCTGAGAAAATGCAATGAATAGCCACACATTACCACAGCATATGCTGGAAAGGCATCACTCTCGTTGCAATCATCGCTCGAGGAATCGTAAACGAAGGATTTATCCTCTTGTTTGTTGTCGAGTTCAAGCGGAATACTTTCTACATTCCCCAGTTCCACGACTGGTTCTTCTTCAGAAGCCATGACATTGATTGGGCTTTTATCGTTGTTCAAATCAGACACTGGTGCAGGACCGAGTTTATTGTCGTTGGAGCTGCAGACACATTCAGACACATTCTTCTCCTGCGCCTTCATCTCTCCAGTGGCAGCAAGGGATAGATCAGTGAATGACTTCACCATGGAATCTAAAGCTTGAGTTGGCTTTGGCTGTTTCATTTCGATTGGAGTCGAACTGCGCAAGGGCATATAAGTCGAAGAGGGTGACGGAAGAGGCTGCTTCACTTGATATGGGATACGCATGGGTTGCATTTGTGTGTGCATGTTATACATTCCCTGCTGATGTGCAGCTAGATAAACAATCGGATAGACTCTCATCTGAGGATTGAACGGGTTGATTGGACGATTTTGCTGGAAGTTGTTGTCTGGTTGTCTCATTGGTGGCCGAAACTGATTAACCGGATAGTACATGTTTCCAGGATAGCCCTTCCCAACAGACTCGTTGATAAAGACCAAATCTGATGGCGTCGGGTCATATATAGGCTGTGGTCTACGTTTGCTTTGAATTATGGGACGTCTGGTCGTCTTTTTCTGGCACTTGACGAATTTCTGGATGTGTGCCGACTCTGCAGTTGCCACTGGCCGCACAATAGCCATATGTCCGGAGCCAGTCACCTGTGGATTAGTGTGATTTGAATATGCTACGAAGCCCATACTTCACTCATACCTGTACAATGTCCGGAAGGGAGCGAAGAAAATGCTCCAAGTCTTTGTAGCCGAGCTGGTGGTACGGCACATCTGCGCCCACCATCTCCCTGTAGTCGCGACTCAGTTGCATTAACGACATTACCTGAGGCGACGACACCAGCACAGAATGCACCATCTTCTTTACGACGCCTAATTGTTCGGTTATATCCATATTAAACAGCACAATAAGTACACATGTATGAGAATATGCGTAGTAGTTTGCCGCCTTGTTAGAGCCAAAACTGTACAGAAGTGTGTGGCCGAATGAAGTGCAGACAAAATCCACAGCGCAACATTAAATTTTAAGTGGGTGCTAATTTCGCGCACACATTTACTTTTGAAGGTGCTTTAAATTCGTATTTTCTGTGTTTTTGTCTTATTTATAAAAGGACGCCGCCACACGTTGAAATAACTGGACTTTTGTACTTGGTTGCCATATCGTTTGGTAATGGTCGGTCCCATACACCATAGGCTCATAATTGCGTTTGCCAACTCGCGAACTAGTTCATTCTCTTGAATATCTGGCAGCACCACATTTAGTATCGATATTATTACCTTTTAATTGATGATTCATATTAAATATATTAAAATAATAATTTTGGCTAGAAATATTTATAGTTTATCTGATTTGGCTACTAAGCCAACACAATTACATGGAGCGAATGTAGTTATCTTGAAAAACAAATGCAGTCTATGGATTAGCAAAAATTCGGTCCATGCCTATTGCCATATTTGTAAAATATAAGGTCATAAGGTACACAATCCCACAAAAAGGAATATTTATAATAAGCAAAATAGATTCTTCAGTCGGATGAAGTTATTGTTGTTTCAGTGTTAAAAGTCTTTGAAAGCTAGTAATATCAAAAAGAACACCAACATCGAGGAAAATGATTTAGGACTACGGTATATTATGAAAATGAGAGAGGTATTTCTAAGGAAATATTTTTTAGATTCACACTGACAGTTCTCTTTTGCTAGTTATCACACAATAGTATCGATTCGGACGATACAAATAAACGATAAGTAACAACATATCGATACATATTCGACATCCCTAGCCGAACTAAACGAACCAGTTCTTTCTTTTTACTTCCTGTTCCGAACGCTGCAAAATGTCGAAGAGAGGTAAAAATTCTAAAAATAATCCAATTAAACCGACTTAAATAAGTGCCATCCATGAAAAGCAATTGTGCAACGACCATAAGTGTAAAGAAATGTAGTGGTTTAACTAAATATTTGTGTTTTTCGTCGTTTAGGACGTGGTGGTACCGCGGGAGGTAAATTCCGCATCTCCCTAGGTTTGCCTGTTGGCGCCGTGATGAACTGCGCTGATAATACTGGTAAGTGTGCATGCAAATACCGACTCCCAAGTGGCGACTGCTAATGCTAGCTGTGTTGATGCATTCCAGGTGCCAAGAACTTGTATGTTATTGCCGTGCACGGTATTCGTGGTCGTCTGAATCGTTTGCCTGCTGCTGGCGTCGGTGACATGTTTGTGGCCACCGTGAAGAAGGGCAAGCCTGAGCTCAGGAAGAAGGTGAGTGTTTCTGCATGGTTATCGACGTTAGGTGTGTGTGTGTGTGAGTGTGAAATGTGCAGAGCGGCAAATTGGAGCAACTTTCAGTGAAAATGCTCACAATCGGCACACTAAATCACACTTACCGTCGAGTACCTATGTGCTTTGTGTTTTTTGTTGTTGTAGCTGGTTACTAATTGTTGTCTCATGTTCTCTTTTAGGTTATGCCTGCCGTGGTGATTCGGCAGCGCAAGCCGTTCCGCAGGAGGGACGGGGTGTTTATATACTTTGAAGACAATGCCGGGGTCATAGTAAACAACAAGGGCGAAATGAAGGGGTCGGCCATCACCGGGCCTGTGGCCAAGGAATGCGCTGATCTGTGGCCCCGTATCGCATCGAATGCAAGCTCCATAGCCTAAGGAATTTCCTTACGAATAAACCCATAACGGAACGCAGTTTGTTTTCACTTAACAGTTTGTCGGATCTTTTATTCAATGGATTGGACTGCTGTGGCAGCTTTGGAGGAAGTTTTCGCGAGTTTCACTACTCCCCGCCTATTACTTGGGCGCTTCGGTGCGCAGCGTGGGCTTCGGTCGTGTCACCTCCATCGATATCTTGCCATTGGCGCCCTTGAACAGCGCGAAGCACACCTGGAACGTGAGCCCCTCCAGTGCATCGCCATTCAGCTTGCTAATGATGTCTCCGCGTTGCAGCTTGCTGTCGATCTCCGGATATTGGCCTGGTACCTGCAGAGACAAGTGATTCTTAGTAGTGTTAAAGCCTCGCTGTACCCTCTGGCACTCACGATATCCGCGATGGTGCAGCCAAGCTCGTTGGGCGCAAGGGAGAGACCGAGCTCCTTGCCCGCCTTCTTCATGAAGTCCACGTTGAACTTTTCCAGCTCGGGTGGATCGGCGCGAAAGACGGTTAAGTTCACGCATCTCTCGTACGTCACGTGGAACAGTTGGTGCACCTTCAGCGTGGTCATGCTACCAACGTGTACCGGCCCGCCATTCACGTCGGTAATGTGATCAAATATCTTCAGGCGGTTGTCCGCGGCCACTGCGCCCTCCGGGTAGATGTGTGTGATGACACAGCCAGTCTGAAAAAGAGATTGATTGGATTGAGGTTGAGTTCTGCTACCACCCAACAGGTGCGCTGCCTTACCTTGACGTGATTGTTCTTGCCGCCAGTGACTATGACGCCCAGCGGCTTCTTCTCAACCTTCACCTCAATGAGGATCTTTTTGTTGGGCTTAATCTCGGCTGTGGCGGGCTCCTGTGGCTTCTCCGCCTCCTTCTTGGCCTCTGCAGGAGAACAGCAAAGAATGGTTAATGGTGGAAGGGCTACCCCCCAGCACTAGCTTACCCTCCTTCTTCTTGTCCTCCGCCTCCTTTTCGGCGCGTATGGACTCTTCGCTCTTGAGTGTCAGTAGGATCATGGTGACAACGCCCTCGGCCCGCTTGATCAGACCCGTTGCCTGAGAGCATGTGGAATTAGTCTCGGACTAGAGGGCTTGCCGCCACGTGCTACTCACTTCATCGTAGTTGGACTCCATGGTCACGTCCTGGTTGATGGCCAGCAGCATGTCGCCCACTTTGACGCCCGCCGCCTCCGCATTGGAGCCCTCGCGCAAGTCGGAGATGAAGATGCCACTGCCCACCTCCACGTGCTTGCCGTAGATAACCATGATGCCCAGGAAGCCCTCCTTGCGCACCTGCACCGAGCGTGCCTTTGGGTATTGGTCGAAGATGAACTTGGTCTGTGGATGAGAAGCAGCAACAGAGGATTAACTTCGTGTGTCTTCTGTTTGGGATTGCTTCTCGCTTGCCTCGTCGCACGACGCTGGGAACTTCTTGATGGGCTTCACGCACATGCCCTCGTCGTTGGGCTTGCGTCGCGATGTGATCAGCACGAGCTTCTCCCCCTCCACGTTCTTGAAGATGGCGGAGGCGTTCAAGTGGCAGCGGTTCTTCAGCACGTTGCCGTTCACCTCGACGATCTCGTCGCCGGCCTTGAAGTCCACGCTGGCGAATGTGCCGTTGGTGTCGACGCCCGCCACAAAGCAGGCCATCTTCTGGCGATCCTTGTGGCCGGCCAGAGCGATGCCCAGCGGCTTGCTGGCCGCACGCTGCACCTCGATTCGGCGCAGATCCTTCATCATGTTGTACCGCTTGTTGATCTTGGCTGTGGGAGAGCAGTGTGGGATTAGCCACAGCATGGACCGCATTGGCAGACTCACCCATCGTGTATCCGAACTCGTCCTCCTGCTCCTTGTCGCGCTCCTTCTCCTGCTTGTTCAGCTTGCAGTTGCCCGCAGAGGCGCGATCAATCTGTGGGGCAGACGATGCACATCACAGCCGTGGAATGTTTTAGGGAAAAGGAACCGAGACCCACCTCATAGCCCGCCTCCGTGCGTATGCGTCCGGTCATGTCGCGGGTATCCTCATCGTCCTCGTCCGCATAGTTGCTCGCCGCGTGCTTGTTCCGCATGGAGGCCGTGAATGTTTGGTTCCGCTTCTGCATCGTGGGCTGCCTGTTCATGCCCATGCCCATGCCTTGCCCCTGGCTCTGGTTCTGGTTCTGCCCCATGCCCATGGTGTTGATGGGAGCCTGTTCCTGGTGGAACTTGTTCTTGGCCTGCATGTAGCCATTGCTGCGCGGATCGTTCTGCTTGGACTGCTCCTCGCTCTTGTCGTAGGTCTGTATCTCCAGGTCGATCTTGAAGTCCGCCTCCTTGATGAGATCGATGACCGCCTGCTCGGTGGAGTGGCGCACATCCTTTCCGTTCAGCGAGAGGATGCGATCGCCCACCTTCAGCCTGCCGCACGAGTGGGCGGGACTATCGGGCACGATGCCTTTGATGAATATTCCTGTGGTCTTCGTATTGGGCGAGTCCTTCACCTCCCCGCGCACTATGCAGATGCCGAAGGACTTCTTGCCCGTCTTGTCCAGCGTCACCATGTGAATGAGTTCTGCAAAAGCCAAGGGAGTAACAGTTCAGTGGGTTCGTGACCACGTTTCAAGGTCAAGTTCCCAGGGGCAAATTCGATTAGCACTGACCACCACCAACGGCGCCTGATTTTCCCTGGAACTGCACCATTGCGGATGGCTTGGATCGGCTGCTGCTGTTCCTGCTACTGCTTTGAACACTCCTCTCACTGGCCGCACATTAAGGCAACGTTTAAATATATTTTATTTTATTTTTATTTGAGTTTTTTGTGGCTTATATTTATTTTTTTGCGATTTTTTAATGTTCCGCGGCGGCAGCGCCCGTTTTGAGCCGATGGAAAAGTGCGCCTAAACTGATTTCACAATTAGCTGGCGGACATTCATGCTAACTGACTTAGTGGCCATTCTATTTTGAGTATGATTTTCGTATCGATTACACTAGTGAGCAGGGTTCGGGCTGCAGTCGATTGCCAGTGGCTTGAAAGAAATACTTTTGCAGCGCAGTGCTATCGATCTGACGGTGGTGCTTCTGCCATTGCATTGAGCAACTATCGCTGGCTGTTATGCCCACCACCTAACCCACTCTCAGGCGTCCAGCTCTCCCAAGACTATCACAACATGGAGGCAGGGCAGCAGTCTCGTCCCCCCGTGCCTTTATTGTCCATAACACCTTATTAATTTCGATTGGGCGATTCGGCCGGCCAGGGCAGGCAGAGAAAAAAGCACTTGGCCAGCGGAAGCCGCCTAAGTTTTGTCCACAAATGCCCATCGATTTTAGACATTTCTTTCGTTGCACCCACAACGGACCCAACGCAGGTGCAGTCTCAGACCTGAATGCAAATAAGTGCAGAATAATAAACCGCAAAGTACTCAGAAAGTTGCCCAAAAGAGCTGGCAAAGAGGATTTGAGTTTATGGCAGAATTTTTAGAGATAAAAGCTGCCGACTTGCAGAATTTAATGATCAATTCAAACACTCGTATCCATAATTGTTGCATGGTGAAATTGCTAACAAGGTAACGCTGTCCGCTGTGGGGAGCACCGATATCTTATTCACCACGCCCAGAGAGACAAGCGCTAGAGAGGGATGGAGATGGAGTATTAATTCCACCGTGGTGAAGACGTCACCTCGTAAGCAAATTCAGATTGGATTTTTGCATTAGATTTAATTTAATCTCTGCCTTGAAATCATAAATAATGAAAAACATTGAACATTGAACATTGAAAACTGTATTTGGATCCCAACTATTCCATGCCAATGTGAAGAGCTGATTGAGAGCGGGGGTTGAGGAGGGTTGAAGGCATCGCCATGCAGAAATTGAATAAAAGTTTTTGGACTGCTTGGCTGCTGCCATTCGAGTGGCAAATGAATTTAATTTGTGTGTGCGAGTGAGGTCTTAAATTCATAATCAAGATTTGCATTTTAATGCAATTGCCAGACGGTCGAGGGAGTGGGGGGAGTGGACACCAGAGCTGGTTGGTAGGGCTGATCGGGGAGGGCGCTACGCAAACATTTCCATTAAATGCGAGTAGAAAATTGCTAAGCGAGGGAAAAGGCAAAGCAAAACTAGAGTAAACACATGCTCAAAGAGCGTGCCATCAAATGGGTGGAAAATGAAACTGGAAAATGGCCCCGCAGCTCAGCTGTGGCTGGTGGAGGGCTGGAGGGGGTGTGCTGGCAAACGTCAACGACTGCGGAACGATGTTGGAAATTAATTTCATAATAAAAAAGCGTAAGGAAACCCATTTGATAAAACAATTTCCTTTTTGCCTCCCAACAGTCATGTTTTGTTAGTAAAGTAAATTCGAGGGAGAGAGCAGGAGAGCGGGATACAGAGGAGAAAAGCAAGAGAAGAGAAGCAGTGAAAATGAGCTTAACTTTCCCCAGGCTCACATCCCGTCCAGGATACATATGCATGCGCTGCTGCACAGCCATTGGTCGCCACTGTGGCCACACCCCGCGCAATGGCTGCTGCTTTTCGGCAGTCATTGCCTCTCGCTCTAGCCTTCCTTGCGAGCAGTGCTGCCTGCGTCGCAGTCGGCGCATTTAGTTAACTGAAGTGATTTTGCACAGTCGAGAGTGAGAGAGAGGGACAGACTCTCTCTGGTCTTATGTAAGTGGCTCTGCTACACGTGCACGTGTGTGTGTGTGTGTGTGCGCAGGCATGGGTGTGGGGTGTGGGGTGTGTGTGTGTGTGTGCGAATCCGTTGTTGACTTGTTCTCGTGTTGTACTTACATGCAGTTATATCAAATTGCTAATAATCGTCTAGCAGGCACTCCAGAGTGCGTCCTGGAAATGAATAAGAATTACAGTTTTGTGCGCAAAAACACTTCACACAAAGATTTGGAATAATATGGAAATTGTGCCTGTTCGTTCCACCCAACATTCCAGGCAGAGGGGAGAGCAAGAGGAGAGGCAGGGATGCCAGTTACACACTTTTGAGAGGGGAAGCATTAATGAAATTCTTAATATTCGTAGATGTTATACACAAGTAACCCTAAGGTATCCTCCAGATAGGAATGGAATCTGTGTGTGTCGTGTGTGGTGTGGGTACAAAATTTACTGGATAAGTGGATGTCTGCTGGGAATAGACAACAGACAGATAGGAATATTTTGTCATTTTGTATCTTTTGTATAGCTTCGTTCGCAGCTTTATTCCTTAACAAATACTAAACACAATCGGCATAAAACTCATCCACAATATCAAATTCCACACGCTCGAAACCTTCTGGATACGCAATGCCCATTTGAATGGCTTCGCTGGGCATGGGACCCTTCTGCTCCTCCTCATAACCTTTCTTTAAGGCCAACAGTGCCGCGTTGATGGCGTCTTCTACTTTGAGTTTCTTGTTGTATCGCTGCTCCAGGAGATTCGTGCATTCGGCAGCATTACGACCCAGTGCAATGGCCTTTCTGGGGAAGTAAGAGTCGTCGGCACTGCATGCGTACAGCTGCGGCAGGCCCTTGTCCCAGCCAGCGATCAGCAGGGCAGCTCCAAAGGGTCGCGCACTCGCGGAGTGGATGTGCTCCTGCATGACAAATGCCAGGCAGTGGGCCAACTGCTTAACTTCGACCGGAACGCCATTGATCAGCCTATGGGATAGTATAAAAAACTTCAGCGGCAATCATCAACATGTTTCAGCTTATTACTTAATGTCTTGGGCACCTTTCTGGGCATGCTTCTTGAGCAAGTGAAAGTCGCCACTCAATCCGGAATAAGTCATTCCAATCATGGTGTCTATGGGGGCCACGTGCAGAATGCCGCGCGGCTCCATCAGTGGCGAAGACATTCTCGTTGCTGTGGCAATGACAGCGCCATCGGCTGCCACGATGCCCACGGAGGTGCTGCCTTTGGATACCGCTCCCAAGGCGTACAACGATTGCTCCACAGCTCCCTGGCCATTAAAGACGCAGGGCGAAAACTTGAAACCTTCAGCCATCTTTTTTTGTTGAAAGTGAACACAAAAGTTGCTGACAAAACAGCCAAAGGCTACGCCTACTCAGCCATCCAAGTAAATAATCGGTACAAAGCGGAGTTGAAACTTTAATTAATTTCGTGTCTTCAGATTCAATCGAACTGAAACTTCAGCTTGTGGGGAAAACTCTTTGAGAAGTGCAGCCAAGGCGCAACAGGCGCTGCTCCCTCCACAAAACTCCCTCCAAAGCTACACAAAACAATGAGGGGCAGCGGAGGCAAACCAACTGAATATTCTCACGACGTTTAAGGACATCTACAAACAATTACGGCCGTGTACATGTGTTCCATGAGGCAGGCAGGCAGTCAGGCAGTCAGGCTAAAGTTTGCATGACGCACGGAATGCCCGCCTCTGGGCGCACGGATTATAGATATTTGTGTTTACTACGGATGTATAATGTCCTCATAACTTCAGTACATGAACGTGATAGAGCAAATAATGGTGCCCACATGAAGTGGCAGGACACAGCACACAGGACACAGGACTCGCAGCTGAGCACTTGCCGCCCCTTTGGATTGGTGCTGCAGGGTGGAGTGCTGAAATGAGACTTAAATGATTACACTACGCTCTACATTAAAACTCAATTTGAATGACAACGCGTAAGCAAATAATTGTCCTTTTGCGACCCGCCAATGTCCTTAGCTTGCCTCAAGTGCTGCCTCTTCAACTCTGTTGCTGCCTCAAAAGTTTGCTCTCCACACGGTAGTAAGTTATTCAAATATTGAGTTTTTCCAACTCGCTCACAGCCGCCAGGCCATCCACCCGCCCTCTGGTGTGCATGTGCGCAGGGTCACAGCCGGGCCGGCCGTGTGGGGTTGCGTTGGGTTGGGTTGGGTTGGGTGCCGAAAAGCGAGTCCCTCATCCGTAGACGCAGCCCTTTGTTTGAGTTGTTCGCTCCTCAAAATACGTTTGATTTGTTTGCTGTGGCCCATGGCCCGAGGCGAGAGCAGAAGAGATCTTAAGCTGCATGTAAATGCGTTAAATTAAATTTCAAAGGACAATGAATGAATCGAATCGTTGGACGGGTTGCAGGACTTGACAATTTGGACTGTCAACAGTAATGCGATTATGGGAATAAAGATTTGTTGGATCCAAATGGGACTTATTCGGACTGAGCAAAGGAGCAGGTGGGAGCTTCTTCTAAAGGATACCCAATAGAATCACCTCTCCACGCATCCCCATGCCTGATTGCACATTCAATATTGTTGATTTTGGACACTGATAATAGGCCTCTCGTCTCACCGCACGTGTTCGCACTTCGCGGTACTTGGCCACGTGTTAACTTGTTTGCGCTATCGCCATCAATGCCAACAAATATTTACGAGCATTGTGCACATTTTATTTGCAACACAAATTGGTAATATCAGAGCTGTGCCTGGCCTCTATTTTCTTTTCATTTGTCGCCATGTCGCCCAGCCCACATCGCTTTGATCTTACCAATTGATTTACACTAACGATTATTTAATGAAATTCCACAGGCAAGCAACCCCCTCTCGGTAGTCCCTGACAGGAAGTGTGAATTACCCAACACCCACTCCAGGGGCGAGCGTGCCACACGTGTCCGCTGGGAACTTATTAAGCGTGTCGCTTGACGCCCCGCCCCTGCTGGATTTTGATTATTTCTGGTTTGATTTAAATTTCGCGCTCAAGTGTGAATGTGTCGTCTTGTTGTCTCTTTTGTGGAGTGTTTCCATGTCTACGGACGAGCAATTAATGAGGATTTAACCCACTGCCACTGCGAGAGAGAGGGAGAGCGAAAAGACCTCCGATGGAGCTTCAATTGGGGTCTCTGGAATGAGGAGATCTTGCCAGTACTTATCAATACTTTCCATATTATAAACCCTCATCAAGTGACATCATCTAGTGCCCAACCTGTGTCGCACCTTTTCGACTTTGCATCATCCCCAGGGGGGAACTAGCTTTGACTTCATAATCCTCGAAACCAAAACAAATAAACGATTATCCTTTATGGGCAGCAGTTGTGGGCATCGGATCAGCGTTGGTTATGGGCATTACCAACTGTCCAAATAGCTGCCACGCCCCAACAGTTAAGAGAGCAAACGGCACAGACGAGTGAAGTGAACGTTCCAATGTCCTGGACACATCCTTGGCTTTCGTTTCGTTGCGTTTCGTGGCATACGGACAAGTGACAATCATCCCACTTAATTGAATTCTGCGCTGCATAATAAATCAACTTAATGCGATCCAAGTACGCCAGAGGATGTCGACCAATTCAAAAAACTCAAGCAGATCCCACACACACACAGAGAGAAGGCATAGCTGTATGGGGATATACTTTGGCTGCGGTTATAAACGCAGCAGCAGCAGCAGCAGCAGAAGCAGAAGCAGCAAATAAACAACAATAACACACTCTGCCATCGATGCCCACTTTCCCACACCAGACCGACATTTGCAACCCATCCACGCCCGCTGTAATTTCCACACTTGTGCTGACACATTGAAAGGGCTTTGGGTTTTTATTGTGCCCTAGGGGAAAGGGTATGCTGAATAAGAGGTTCGACTTGGCACAGATTAAACTCAAGTAGAAGCTAAATGAAACACAACTAGAGCTCCGCATAAGGCATCGAGGCAAATGTTTTTGCTTCAATTAAAAATCAAACTCAAATAAACCCAAATCCGCACTTTCTCCATCACATAGCTAGCTGCCATTTGAAGGGTATCTAGTGCATCGACTTGCAGCGTTAACATTCCTTTTTTCTCTGGTTATTTATGAATTGAGAAATTGACATCCTGGCAGAGAGTGAAAAGAGGCGTTAAGGAGGCTTAGGCAGGGCTCTCGATTTTTATTGCCGAGGCTGCCTGCTGCCAAACAAGAGGCTTAGGCAAAAGGCACCAGGCATCATCCTCATCATCATCATCCGCAGCCACATCAAATGAACAAAACTGAATGCAGCACTTGCTGCTGCTGCTGCCACAAACCCTTGTAGCCCAGCCCTCTGTACCCACCACTGAATGAGGATAAATCGAGCGTGAAATATGCCCGCTTGGACAGGGGACAGGGGAGAGGCAGAGGTAGAGCATCCCATTGTTGTGCTTTCCACTTGTTGGCTGGCTTGGATCCTGGCTGCTGGCTGCTGGCTCCTGCTGATGCTGATGCTGGATGAAATTTTGCGGGTGCAGTTGCGCAATTTGTCCGCTACCTGCTGTGATTTTTCCCATTGTCCTGGGTGGGTGGTTGCCGATTCCTGATGTCCTTGTCCATCAAATTGAGCGTCACTCAAGTATTCAAGTGCCTGTATGTGTCTCTGCCCCTGCTCCAGATCCATGCCAGCCATCCTGCAGATACTTCAAAGATTTAATAATGACATAAGAAGCGAAGCTATTAAGCCGGGAGCCGGGTGCCGGGAGGAGACCCGACCTCGAGTGTGTTTGCCTTTGCGATTCTCCAGGTGCCAGACACCCCGCCAGACCATGGGAGGATGCAGCATCTCGAGCACAAATTAGTGGCAGTCCCCGTCAAGCAGGAGTCACTGTAGCCATTGTCCTGGCTGCTGCTGCTCCTTGCAGTCAAAGCAATTCAAGTGTCAAATCTTTTATTTGCCTTTTGCAGATTTCGCAATAAAAATTTGTATTGTCAAAGTCTGGGCTCATCCAAGCCCAATCCTCAATCCACAATCCTCAATCCACAATCCCCAATCCCAGCCCTAGTATCCGTCTCAGCCAGTGCATCATCCCCCGCCCAATGCTTCGCTCCCTTTCATCCTACATGTCCTCCATGTCCCTTGGTCGTTTGTTTGTGTGCAATAAATTTGCTGACAAAAGAAGGATTATTGCTGGATCATGCCGCTGCCTCAGCCTGAGCAGGATGTGGCTGTGGTGGCTCTGGCTCTCCTCTGGTTCTTGCCAGCGTGCATTCCTGGGCGTTATTGTTTGCCCATAAGTTAATTGTTCGACGGCAAAAGCTTGAGTGCACCGCATCCTCACGCTCAACTGGCCGCCAAAAAGTCCTGCATCCTCCACCCATGGGTCCCATGCTGTGCCTAAGCGATGATTAACCGTAGACAGACAGGGGATGTGGCTGTCGTTGGACATGGATATGGCTACGAGGGGATAACTGGATGCTGGATGAGTTGGGTTGCAGTTTGCAAAACTGTCAATTGCCATGGAAACTATTGCTTAAGCGATGGAAAGTGGATTGAGAGAGCGAATGTTTTGAGGATTAGTTGGTGTTGAACGAATACATAGAAAGAGAGAAAGTAATCGTTAATCGAACTAAAATAAAGTACGCAAAGTATTCATAAAACAGATTCCAAAAGGGCAATCGAAAGGAAATTCGATTTAGTTTGCGCTTACATACATATTAGACATGTATGTACAAATATATGTATGTGTACATACTCTATACATATTTAGGTATGCATTTGATTTGATTTTTGCTTTTGTGTGAACAACTTTTACTGGCCAGAAGCCATAAGAACCTTTGTTTGGCCATAAACAAGGCAAAGGAATTGAATGCCGCAATAAATTTTCCGCAACTAAATTGGGAAACTGACACAATCCGCAGTCCGTAATCCCCCCCCACACCACACTCTCTCACTCTCTCTCTCTCTCTGTAGCTGTCTCTATCTATCTAATACCAACACAAATCCAAATGGATAAGGATACATAACAAAACGCAATGCCACGCCCCTCTGAAGCTTTCCCAAAAAATCATTGATTCGTTAGTGTAACGGAGTGGAAAAGAAGTGGGCAGAGAGAGGGGAAGAGAGTGGGATGGAGCGACGGAGGAGTGGGGGTAGAGATGTTTTGTACACAGCTAAACAGAATTGGAATAATGAAAATGGATGCCAAGTGAAAGAAACGATATCAATATTGTCCTCAGTGGGAAGATGGCGGCCATTATTCAGTCGCTTTGCCTTTTGTGTTTGCGTGGGTGTGCTCTTCCATGTGTGTGTGTGTGTGTAACTTCCGCAAAACTGAAAAACTAATTTGAACAAAGTACAACAAATAAAAGTGACTACTGAATGTTTAATTTGAAAAGGGGAAGCCTCTG